CCACCAGGTTCTTCATTAAAAATAAGAAAACCTTTTGGAAAGCTAAGAAATGCTAGATTTATTGGGAAATATGTTCTGTAACATATATTCAAACCAGAACAATATTCTCTTTTCTCTATGTATTTTCTATCTATAAAGATTATTCAGTCATACTAATGAACAGATAATAAGATTTCAGTTCATTGTAATAAACTCCTCAGATATACACTTCGACATATATTTCATCACAGACACATGTTTGTATGTTTAAATAAATACCAGTCCTTATGTTCTGGCTTTTTTTCTCAAGAAAATTCTAAGTAAGATGGATATTTATCAAGCAAGTAATAAAAACTTTGGCTTATTAAGATATTAAGGTTCTGAAGAGGGACACCACTACAGAGGGAAAATTATGTTCAAAATTCCCACTACATAGGGAAAATTAAATTCAAAAATTAAATCCTGTTTTTCTAAAATGCTTTTCTTTATTCTCTCTTTCATCTTTGTTGAGGTAACAAAAAAAATATTTATCTATTGCTACAGTGTCAGCCTTATTAGATATATGAAATAATCTCTAGGACTAGACTCCTCACTTTTCCCATGTGAAGTTTTATGGTTTTCTTTTTACTTACAAAACTCAAAGCTTTTTAAATGTAAATTTATATAGAATTACACTGTTTTATTTGCCACAAGCTTTAAGTTGATTCCACTGAATTTGCAAAAATTTATCTCGTCATGGTCATAGTCAACTTTTAACTTTTTAGTTTTGTATATATAATTGTATGTATATATGAATGCATTTGCCTAAATAGAAATAAAATGTGTATATGTGTGTGAATAAATGTGTATATATGTATATATACATACATGTAGACATAAAAATAAAATATCTTTAAGACAATGCAATAGACTTGTGTTATTTATAAGCCATTTTAAGTTGCATTTCAAAAATGCAAAAATCAAACCATAATTAGCATGCTCTTTGTTCTACTTGAACACCTGCCCATTCACTCATTCTCCTTGTATGAATTCTCCCTGGAATGCCTGAAATCAGAATCATTGCTTTGGTACCAAAAGCCCAGAGATTGTGAGCTCATGATTTCTTGAGTCTGTCTGCTCCTGGATATGTGTATGTGTGTGTGTGTTCTATGTTCTCGTATTCAAACAATGTTGCTTATTAAGAGGTATCACAATGTGACATACCTGTCAAGGGTAGATCTTTACTTCACACTTGGAGAGTATTTTCCTGAAATCTCTTCTCAGTCTGATGCTGTTGTTTCCAACTTAAGTTTGGAGTAGGGGCTGCAGGCAGGGCCTTATTAGCTAGAGAACTAGGGAGTTAGGTCAGTCACTTGATGCTGAGAAATAGAAGAGAATGGATGGGAAAGAATGATGGGGAGTTTCGGAGATTTGTAATGATTCAGAAATCACAGGATATGTTGCAGTGTTTGTCCAGGGAAAAGCCTTCATATGTTTTTTGTTGTTGTTTTGTGTGTGTTTGTTTATTTATTTATTTGAGACGGAGTCTCGCTCTGTCCCCCAGGCTGGAGTGCAGTGGCACCATCTCGGCTCACTGCAAGCTCCGCCTCCCGGGTTTCAGTGATTCTTCTGCCTCAGCCTCCTGAGTTGCTGGGACTACACGCGTATGTCACCATGCCTGGCTAATGTTTGCATTTTTAGTAGAAATGGGGTTTCATTATGTTGGCCGGGCTAGTCTTGAATGAGAAGGAGAGCGGTTTTTTTGCCTGATTTTACACAATCACCATGCACTGCATTCTGCTGAAGTCATGATGAAGCCATTTATGAAGGAGAAAGGCCGGGACAGGGGGTGAGGAGAACAATCCAGTCTTCCTGATAAAACCACATGATAAGCAAGTTGAGTGGTCTTTGAAAGTTCATAATAGAGACACATACAAAAAAAGTGTTACAGTGAAAGTTTGACCTGTATGTTCTTCCATATTGATGCCATGCCTCCATGATTCTAAAAAAAAATTTTGAATTTACAGTTAGTAATTCATAAGGAAACAGATAAGGAGATAAATGTAGTGTCTACTACACCTTAAGCTGTATGAAAGCAGAGCCATTGTAAGCCACAGAGCCTAATTCAATGGTGACACAGGACATGCTCAGTAAATATTTGGAGACTGACTGTGGTAGTAACTGAATGACTAGATGGATATGAATATTAATATTTAGGAGGCTGAACCATTTGTGCATATATTAAGGTTACACAAGCCTTCTTAGCAAATAATAAAGTTTAATATGCTAGTGTATTATAATTAAATGGTATGGCTTTTGTGGGTCAAAAACAGTCATATTTGGGGAATTTCATATGGTTCAACTTTATTGGTGTAGTTCTAGAGTATGGATAAAATATATAAATACTGAAGTATATTCATTATTTTAAATATTTAAAATAATAATTCTTATAGCAGTGACGATAGATATCTTTAAAATCGTCCATAATTCTACCATCCTCACATCCCATTAATTTCATTTATCTCTTTCTTCGTAGTCTGTATGTAATTTTAAAGCTATCTTTATTTTATTGTTAACAAAACATGGAACTGATCATTCATCAGGGATGTTTCAAAAACTGGTGATTCAGCCCCAGTAACTTAGCTGTCTCATTTTATCTAAAGGAAAATTTGTTTGAAACAAATTTGCTAATCGCAAATTAGCTCTGATGATAGGCACAGCTTATGTTAAGTGAAAATTTTACTTCCCCTATTTCAATATAGCATAAGACCACACAAGTGACAATTATCTAAGTACAATACATTGTTTCTTTCTAATATGTATTTTATTTAGTCAGACATCTATTTACCTCTCCTTGAATTGCAGACACACAGATGAATGCTTCTCACCCGGAAACAAACTTGCCAGCTGGGTATCCTCCTCAGTATCCACCGACAGCATTCCAAGGTAAAGTAGTTGATTAAAGAAGAAAAATGAAAGTTAATCAGTCTCTCTCTCTTGAGAGAGAGAGAGAATTGTGCATTTGTTTTTATTTTAGTTGTTCTTTTTTTAAAACTATATTAATGAAATTTTGGCAGCCTAGTTGTTCCTGATTATTTTTATTTGGCTATATATTTTCCATAGAAGTAATTTTTATTTATAGAGGACAGTAAAGGTATAAAGAAAGCTAGTAAAAACAGCATTAGGTTTAAATTTAGCAAATGAAATACAAGACTGCACATCCCAAAACACGAATGTTAAGTAAAATATTTTATTGATCCTCCATCTGTTCTGAAAATTATGATCATTTAATCACATTTAGGAAATTTATTTCTGATAAATTGAGTCATGTAGCTTGGCATGTGTTCAGTGAGAGTCACATCAAAATGGTAAGACTGCTTAAAACTGGAAGTAATAGAAATTCAGTTACCTGGGAATAATTCTCATTTTAATTTTATAATATATATGAAAGCTTCATTTTTGTATATATACTGATTCAGCCCTGTATTTCTAAGAAAAATAATTGAGTCATTTGACTACGTATGTAATTGAGTACATTTTTTCTTTTCAACCAATGCCTGAAAGAATTCAGAGATTTTCATTTAGGCAAATGCAGTTATCCAAACTACTAGAATTTTAAAAATAGCAAACACCATGGCATGTCCAGATTTACAAGCAGGCAGGCTACCCAGATCTTGAAAGAGCATCCTGGGGATTTAGTATCAAAGGGAATGTGGATTGGATAGAAGGATGTAACCATTGTGTGCTCTTCCCTGAGTAAACAAATGTGCTTAGGAGCTGAATGTCATGTTTAATTGCCTAGCAAGAAACCTCCCTGCGGTCCAAGTTTGCAACTAAAAGAATATGAGCTAGATAAGCTCAAAGACTCTCAGGTGGTGGCTCACGGCAACCATGCCTGCACTGAAGTATCATCACCCAGAACCACTTCAAAATAGTAGTGCCAAGGCATTATTCCAGAAAAATTAAATCATAGCTTCTGGTGGTGGGACTCAAGGAATAGTAATCTTTTAACACCCGAAGTCATTCTAATGTGAAGCCAGGGTTGAGAACCTCTGCTCTAAATTCTTACAGGGTTGCTGTTTGGAAAATCATTAGTAAGTCTATAATAGTCATCCAAGGCACTTAAGAAAATTATGTAATCCACCCTATCACTGAATTAAAAGTGGATATAGATAAATAATACAGTTCAGATATAATCAGACTTGAGAGTTTGCTGACACATATATATATCATTCTACAGCTTTATTTTGTGTCTCAAGTCCAGGATTACATATAGCACAAGTCTTAAGATAACAATGATGCTAACAGTAAGGATAATTTAAAATTGAGAGCTTACCATGCTTTAGTCATTGTTTTAAATGTGGAATTAATGTGGATTAACACATTTAATTCTCAGAATACTCTTATGAGGTAAATACGGTTAGTTACCCCCATTGTGTATGTGGGAAAGCTGAGGCATAGGGAGTTTGGATCAGGCTTCAGGTTCTGCCTACTTTTTTAAAATAAAAATTTGTATAGGTAAATGTGCTGGTAAACTAGGTTCTGCCCTCTTTACTGATAGTTATGTGGTAGTCTTAAACAAGTTGCAGTACCTCGAAGCCTCAGTGTTCCTATCTATAAATGAGGGTGATATTTTCAATGTAGGTTGCTTTGTAGAGTAAATGAGAATATATGTAAAACACTGAGCACAATGCTTGCAAATAAGAAATGACAAGTATTTGCTAACATGTTTAAAATATTTTAAATCAAGTAGTCTTTACATAAATGATACTAGTGTTCAAATTTCAGGTAATTCTTTATGCTTAATTCATTCATTTGATGAGTAATCAATCATATTTTCAGAGTCTGGGGGAAATTATGATGATGTTAAAAATGTAAGAAATTAAATCACATCTCTACATGCCCACTGGTCTGCCTATGGTCTGGTTTCTGTGCTGACGCCAGTGATCTTTAAAAATGTAAATCTGCATAGGATTTATACCTGATGTAAATGACGAGTTGATGGGTGCAGCACAGCAACATGGCACAAGTATACCTATGTAACAAACGTGCACGTTATGCACATGTACCCTAGAACTTAAAGTATAATAATAATAAATTTAAAAAAATGTAAATCTGCTCATATTACAGAGAGTGTATAACCCCTATTTTATTAGTGTCCTATTACTTTCAGGATAAAGGCTAACACTAAACCCAGAATGGCCTTTTCCATGCTCTCTCTTTAACCTCCTCTTGAGCCTGGCTTGCTGCTATTCAGCTAGACTGGCTATTTTTCAGATTTTTAAAGGCCTATGTTAGTTACTGTCCCAGGACTTTGCTCTGAAATGTTCTTTCTATGACTCTGGCCTCCTGAACTCCTGTGCATCCTTCAGATCTCAGCATAAAGGTGACCCCTCAGGGCAGCTGTTCCTACTCCTTCCCTTTTTCTCTTCCCATCTCAATAGCGACTTTTGGCATCTCTAGTCATAAAACCGTGGTCTCTTACTTGAAAGCATTTATCTCTTATTCTAATTAATCAATTAATTACTCTGGTATTATAGCTCCCTAGAATAAGTGGGGATTTAAAGTTGTCTCTCTCATTAAACAATGATGGACAGGGATTGCATCTGTGTCTTCCATTGTAAATTCTAATACTTTTCTACTCCTGAAAATTTTGTAAGATATAAATAAGACCATGGAACTCATTCTTCTGCTCAGAATCCTCTAGTACTTGCCAATCATAATTGGAACCAAATCCAGACTCCTTACTAAGGCCTCCTTTGATGAACAGCTTCCTATTGCTTTGCTAACAGCATGTCAGATTCATTACAAAGTCAGAGGTATTCTATTTGCCTTTCTTTCCTCCTGAAGCATTTCTCACTAGGTCTTCATATAAAGCTTTCCTCGTCTTTTAGACCTTGATGGAAATTATATTTACCTAAAGTGACTGCCTCATGCCCTGCCCTCCCTGACATACATTCTCTCCATCACATCCATATGAATTTTTTTCATTCTAAAT